TGGGTTAGCATTATCAGTATTGGATAGCAGTTTGATGGTATGCACATATCAGCCCTGACTGACACCCAGGGGCTGATGGGTGGCGCAAAAAAGGGTTGAATTGACTGAAATTTCAAAATCTTCTTCTCAAGACCCAGATATGGTAGAATCAAATACTCTTCATAGATGGAAGAGTTTTAAGGTGCTCTACCACAATTATGAATTTTATAACCNTTGAGCCAGTTTACCCCCAAGCTCAAGTCAGTGTGCTAAAATTTCTTCATTTTCCTTGTTTAGAACTGGAGGTGCTAAATTCCGATACTTTTCAGTCTTAAATCTGTATGCTAGATATTGAATAAGGTTGTTTAATAATTTTTTAGCTCACCTGGCACAAAGTGCCAAGTGTGCTTATGCCGTGGCGCGGCGTCCGTCGTCCGTCCGTCCGTCCGTCCATCCGTCCGTCCATCCGTCCGTCCTCGTCCGTCAAGTTTTCCTTAAAACAACTTCTTCTGAAGAACGGACAGGCCTAGAGTCATGATGTTTGGCTGAAAGCTTCGTTGGTAGGAGCCCTACAAAGTTTGAGAACGAAAATGACCTTGACCTGTTTTCAAGGTCACAGGGGTCAAATATGTCAAAAACTTCAAACGACTTCTTCTAAAGAACTAAAAGGTATAGAATCTTCATATTTGGCTGATGGCTTCCTGGGATAGAGCCCAACAAAGTTTGAGAATGAAAATGACCTTGACCTACTTTCAAGGTCACAGGGGTCAAATGTGTCAAACACTTCAAACGACTTCTTCTGAAGAACTGAAAGGTATAGAATCTTTATATTTGGCTGGTGGCTTCCTGGGATAGAGACCAACAAAGTTTGAGAATGAAAATTAGTTTGACCTACTTTCAAGGTCACAGGGGTCAAATATGTCAAAAACTTCAAACGACTTCTTCTGAAGAATTAAAAGGTATAGAATCTTCATATTTGGCTGATGGCTTCCTTGGATGGAGCCCAACAAAGTTTGAGAATGAAAATTACCTTGACCTTCTTTCAAGGTCACAGGGGTCAAATGTGTCAAACACTTCAAACGACTTCTTCTGAAGAACTGAAAGGTATATAATCTTTATATTTGGCTGGTGGCTTCCTGGGATAGAGCCCAACAAAGTTTGAGAATGAAAACTAGTTTGACCTACTTTCAAGGTCACAGGGGTCATATATGTCAAAAGCTTCAAATGACTTCTTCTGAAGAACTGAAAGGTATAGAATCTTTATTTTTGATTGATGGCTTCCTTGGATAGAGCCCGACAAAGTTTGAGAATGAAAATGACCTTGACCTTCTTTCAAGGTCACAGGAGTCAAATGTGTCAGACACTTCAAACGACTTCTTCTGAAGAACTGAAAGGTATATAATCTCTATATTTGGCTTGTAGCTTCCTAGGAAAGAGCCGAACAAAGTTTGAGAATGAAAATGACCTTGACCTTCTTTTAAGGTCACATGAGGCAGATATGTCAAACACTTTAAACGACTTCTTCTGAAGAACTGGTAGTTATAAAATCTTAATATTTGGCAGGTGGCTTCCTGGGAAAGAGCCAAACAAAGTTTGCGAATGAAAATGACCTTGACCTACTTTCAAGGTCACAGCGTTCAAATATGTCAAACAGTTCAAACAGCTTCTTCTGAAGAATTAAAAGGCATAAAATTATAATATTTGGCTGGTGACTTCCCGGGATAGAGCTCACCAAAGTTTGCAAATGAAAATGACCTCAACCTACTTTAGAGGTCACAGAGGTCAACAACATTTTAATGGATTTGTTCTTGAGAACTAAAAGGAATGGATTCATAAGATTTGGCTGGTAGCTTTTTGGAATAGAGCTAACCAATTTGAGAAGGAAAATGACATTGACCTACTTACAAGATCAAAGGGAAAAATATGTCAAGCAACTTCTGAAGAAGAATCAAAAAGCATAGAATCTTATAATAATATTTTACTGGTAGTTTCAACAGATGGAGCCAACAAAGTTTGCGAGGGAAATATTGTTGTCACTTTGAATAATACTCTGTTCATGTTTTAAAATCAGAAATCAACTCTCTGTATAAATATATCAGAACTCAGGTGACCGTTAAGGCCCATGGGCCTCTTGTTATATAATGTATACTTCACAGAGAAACTCATAATGATGTGTGAATTAACGTACCGGTACATTTCAATTATAATCTGGATTTTTAAAGGGAAAATCGTGTAATCTAGTGAAATATTGACCGGCATATGCACGTAAATTTGGTAGCATCTTGGGCCCTTCTCAATGGCACTCCCTTTTCAGAGGATATGTCCTCAGCCTTTTGGCGAGGACACACTACCTTTACAGAGTTCTATCTGAGATCAATGTCATCCTTCTCAGACAAACTTAACTCTTTGGGTCCGGTGGTTGTTGCCCAGTCAGTGGCTTGCCCACCCACCTCAGAGTAGAGTGTTCACTGTATTTAGATTTTTATGTGTATATAAGAGCTTCTCGGTATAAAGGTTCCAATTGATTGTGACCAGTGTACCGCCCTCCTGGATAAGCCATGGTTCTGCCGGATTGTAGTATCCACTAGGTAAGACGAATTCGCATAATAATTGAACGTGGTAAATATTGTTTTTGATATAAAATTGAGTTTTTTTATGTAAAACTCATTTTTATGATAAAACTACTGACCACGTCCAATGTGAGTCCCACCCTCCTCCGGCTCCTTTAGGCTTTTTGCTTTTAGGTGTTTTTTTCATGTTTGGAATAGAGGAAGTTGGAGGTGCGCACGCATCCTACACCGTATGTCCGGTTTGGACAGGGAGTGGTTTCGTATTTGCGTGTGCATTTTAAACTTTCCTTTGGGAGTTAAAGAACTGGTAGTTGAAGATCATTTGCATAATTATTGGACGTGGTAAGTAGTTTTATCATAAAAATGGGTTTTACATAAAAAACCTCAATTTTCATTGGCTGATTTATTAAAGCTACGCCAATCAAAATGGGGCTCTTAAAGTAAACATTCTAGCACGTGGGGCGACCTCGTACTGGACCTACACATTCGAGGTCTGAGGTGATTGTTCAGCTTCTAAATGAACAGGAAAAGAACACTTGTTTGAGTTTAGTTTCAAGGCAAACCGCCACCATTTAGACAGGGATGAGAGAGAGGTTACAGATGAATCTGAAACCAAAGCAGGTTGAAACCAAACAGTGAAACTGGAGCAGACGATGTCGAGACTTCCGGAAGTGCTGTTAAAAAACGAAAAACAAAGGTGTTTCATCAAAAATGGACTGGACAATATGACCATGGCTTCGAAAAGAGGAGAAAAGAATGAAATGTTCTGTATGCTTTTTTCATGTGTTTGGTATGAGAAGTCTGATTTTCCTCTCAAAGGATGCTCAGAACATGTATGGAGAAAAAGAAATCAAAATCCTGGTCAACCATTATGGTGCAGAAATGTCCAAAGGTGATGTTATATATTTACCAGCCCCGCCATGGTGGATCCTGTTAAGTGTGTCGAGGAATGACATCTCGCCAAATGCAAGGGCATTGTTCTTGACCAGATGTATCCAAGAGCCAGCACTTAGTTGTTGTTGAAACTTTTATTCCAATTCCATGAGGATGTGCTTCCAAAATATGTTCAAAATATTTAACTTATCAATAACCTGAAGGCCTAGTTTGCTTAAATTTGGCCAGTAATATGCTGGGATGAAGGGCTACCAAGTTTGTTCAAATGAATGCATGACATTGACATATATTCAAGGTCACATGGGTCAAATATGTTTAAAACTTCTTCTTAATAAGCAAAAGGCCAAGGGTGATGATATTTGGCCAAATTACCTTCGCCCATATTCAAGGTCACAGTTGTCAATATATATGTTTAAATCTTTAAATGATTTGTTCTGTATAACCAAAAGGTCCAGGGTTATGATATTTTGCTAGAAGCATGCTGGGTTGCAATTGGAAGACTATAAACTCTGTTCAACCTACATATATGTAATGTCCTTGTTCGACATTCAAGGTTACAGGCATCATATGTTTAAATCTTTTAATAGGTTTTTATATATAAATTATGAATCAAACACTGATATTCTGTCTGTAGTTGTATTTTAGTCCACTTTTAAGATTACAAGTGTGAGATTAATACCAGGTGAGCGATTCGGGTCCAATTGGCCTCTTGTTTTAATAGAATGTACAATCCATGTTCTAGAAACATGGTTCAATCAGGCATTTGGTGAGCCACGCCCATCAAACATGAACCACGCCTCATTTCAAGCAGAAATAACATGAAATTTTAGCATGTTGCATAAAGTGCCGTGTAGTTTTATTGACAACATTGAATGACAAAGTCACTGTATGTATTTATTAAATAAATATTAAAAAATATAAGTATCCTTGCCTGTACATCAATTACATTATTACTACTTTCATCCGATCAGTGTTTTGTGAAATCCTTAACCCAAAAACATACTATTTCTCATTCACAAATATCAGTGTCATTGCAATTGCAACAATGTGAATATTAACAACATCGGCAAATTTCTTCACAGAAGATAATATAATCACAGGTTTTGATATGATCAGCTTGTCATGCATGTAAACTGACAAAACTTTGTATGAATATAGCCAATCTCAACTACAATTTGATTAGAACATGACATCAGCTTAAAACTCTTGACTTTATTGAATTGGTCTGGAGTTTAAACCAAATTTAATGTTTGAATCGCCAGTGTAGACACCAAAAACAACATACTATCCCCTAATTAGATATTAGTATGAATTCACAACTTACAACTTGGATAGAAAATTAATTTCTGAAAGAAGTATAATCAGAACAGACCTTAATTATATGATATTCATATGTAATTGCATACATTAGTAGTATCAAGGGTCAAAAACATTGAATATATGCATGACATTAAAGTAATCTACCTTTACTAGTTGTTTGTTAGCTCATGCTGATATCGATATCATTTGAACACGTCCCTTAAGCCTGTGTTTATGCTGTATTGTTTCTTTTCTTAGGGGTACACATCGTTTTGGAATGACTGCATATCTTCAGGATTGCGTGGATGTATATTGATAGAGTTGGCTCTAAGAGGAAGGGTTGAGTTGGAAAAAGCCGGAATGAGAAGACGCAGTCTTTTAAACAGAAAAATATTGTGTCGGAACAGTAACCCAACTGGTGATGTGTTATTGGATGAAGCACTAAAACATGTCAAGGAGACCGAACCCCCAGAAACGGTACAGAGCTGGATTGAATATTTAAGTGGTAAGTTCTTGCAGCTCTTTTATCAATATATATATGATTAATTTTGCCCATTTATTTAGAGAGAATTTCAAACAGCTCAAAGTATTTACAAGTTGCTTTCCTTGACCATAGATATATGTATAAATATGAGACGCCATAGAAGTTGCGAATAAAACTAAAATATAATTTTGAACTGCAAAAATGTATTTATCAAAATTAAAACCTTCACATGGAGTTGTATGCTTAAATATTATGTTTCACATACAACTAGTGATGCTCAGCACTTGGATTGCAAAACAAGTGAAGAGCATGTACATTGTAGGGATAGCCATTGAGGGAGAAAAAGGGGTTATACATATACATATACAACGTTTTTGTCTTGCAATGTATACAGATTTTATCATATTTTGGAATCTGATCCAGCAAGTAAGTCAGTTACAGAGTTGGTTGATTAAAGCTATTCAAGACAGACTGCAGATTATCATTTAATAGAAGAGTTTTGTAAAATGAATGACTTTGACTTATATTCAAGATCACAGGAGTCGATTAAATTTTCATATTTAATTACCAATCGTCCCAGGGCGATAAAATTTGTCCTTTAAACATGCTGGGATGAATGGCGACAAAGTTTTTTGAATTGAATGACCTTGTCAAATGTTCAAGGTCTCAGGCTAGGGATCAAATACGATAAGAACTTTAAATTACTTCTACTGAATAACCAAAATGCAGAGGGCAATGATATATGGTCAGTATCATGCTTGGATCAAGGGCTACTAGCTGTTTAGGTCTGTTCAAGTGAATGACACTCATACATGCATCCATATTCTAGGGCACAGGGGTCAATTGTCCTAAAAAATCTTTAAACAACTTCTTAATAACCAAAAGAGCCAGGGTGATAATATAATATTTGGCTAGTAGCATGCTTGTATGCCATATTCAAGGTCACAGGGGTCAAATATGTTAAAAACTTAGAGGTTTTCTTCTGAATAACCAAAATGCAAATAGTTGTGATATGTGACCAGCTGCAGTATGCTCAGAAGATCTAGAAGAACTATCAAGTTTGTTCATGTGAATGGTATTGACACTTTCAAGTTCACATCTGGTCAATTGTTTATAAAGCTTTAAAAGTCATCTTCTTACATTAATAAACAAAAGGTCTAGAGTGGTGATATTTGGCATGTTGCTCTTAGCTTTTAGTTGAAGGTCTATGCGAAGTAATCAATCTAATGTTCATGTTTGACTTTCAAGGTCACAGGGGTGAAATGCATTTAAATCTTTTGACATTTTCTTTTGAATTACTTTGAGTCAGGACACTGATCTTTTGCCTGTAGCTTAATTTTAGTCCACTTTTAAGGTAACTAATGTGAGATTAATATGAGGTTAGCAATGCAGGCCCATTCAGCCTCTTGTTAGCTCACCTGACCCAAAGGGCCAAGTGATCAGCTTATGGCATGGTACGGCGTCAACTTTTTACTTTAAACAACTTCCTCTCAGTAACCAAAAGGCCTAGGGTGATGATATTTGGCAGGTAACATGCTGGGGTAAAGGGCTACCAATTTTGTCCAAATAAATGACATTGACTTATATTCAAGGTCACAGGGGTCAAATATGTTTAAAACCTTTAAACAATTTCTTCTGAATAACCAAGAGGCCTAGGGTGATGATAGTTGGCCAGTTACATGCTGCAATGAAGGGCTACCATGTTTGTTCAAATAAATGACCTTGATATATAGTCAAGGTCACAGGGGTCAAATATGTTTAAAACCTTTAAACAACTTCTTCTGAATAACCAAGAGGTCTAGGGTGATGATAGTTGGCCAGTTACATGCTGGGGTAAATGGCTACAAAGTTTGTTCAAATAAATGACATTGACTTAATTTTTGCTGAAATGAAGGGCTACCAATGCAAGTTTGTTCAAATAAATGACCTTGATATATATTTAAGGTCACAGGGGTCAAATAAGTTTAAAACCTTTAAACAACTTCTTCTGAATAACTGAGAGGCCTAGGGTGATGATATTTGGCCAGTAACATGCTGGGATGAAGGACTACCAATTCAAGTTTGTTCAAATAAATGACCTTCATCCATTTTCCATTAAAACCTTTAAACAATTTCTTCTGATTAACCAAGAGGCCTAGGGTAATGATAGTTGGCCAGTAACATGCTGAAATGAAGGGCTACCAATTGCAAGTTTGTTCAAATAAATGACCTTCATCCATTTTCAAGGTCACAGGGATCAATTATGTTGAATTCGTCAAACAACTTCGTCTGAATAACCAAAAGACCTAGGGTAATGCTATTTGGCCAATACCATGCTGGGATGAATGGCTACCAAGTTTGTTCAAATACATGACCTGACTTATATTCAAGGTCACAGGGGTCAAATATGTTTAAAACATTTAAACAACTTCTTTTGCTATTTGGTCAGTAACATGCTTGGATGAAGGGCTACCAAGTTTATTCAAATGAATGACCTTGAATCATATTCAAGGTCACTGGGGTCAAATATGTCAAACACAATTAAACAACTTCTTCTGAATAATCAAGAGGCATAGGGTGATGACATTTGGCCATTTACATGCTGGGATGAAGGGTTAACAAGATGGTTCAAATGAATGACCTTGCCCCATATTCAAGGTCAAAGTGGTCAATATATGTTTAAATCTGTATATGATTTGTTCTGTATAACCAAAAAGTCAAGGGTGATTATATTTTGCAAGAAGCATGCTGGGTTGGAAGACTCTAAACTCTGTTCAAGCTAATGTCCTTGCTCGACATTCAAGGTCACGGGCGTCATATGTTTAAATCTTGTAATAGGTTCTTATTAATCAAACGTTGATATTCTGCCTGTAGTTGTATTTAAGTCCACTTTTAGGATTACAAGTGTGAGATTAATACCAGGTGAGCGATTCAGGCCCATTGGGCCTCTTGTTTTATTGTGTAATCAGTTACAGCAGTATGAAGGTTTAAACCTAATTATTAAACTTATTATATAACGGATGATATTTTAATTTTATGTAAATTTCAGGAGAAACATGGAACCCTTTGAAGCTGCGATACCAATTGCGAAATGTTCGGGAAAGGCTTGCGAAAAATCTGGTGGAAAAAGGTGTATGTTCCACTGAAAAACAAAACTTCCTGCTTTTTGACATGACCACGCACCCCCTCACAGACTCAGGAGTAAAACAGAAACTCATAAAGAAGGTCCAGGATGCTGTCCTCAGCCGTTGGACGAATGATGCACACAGAATGGATAGGCGACTTCTATCTCTGATCTATCTTGCACATGCTTCAGACGTTCTTGAAAATGCATTTGCACCCTTGTCTGATGATGATTATGAAATTGCAATGAAGCGTGTGCGAGAGCTGTTAGACTTGGACTTTGAAAATGAAAGTATGAAAGAGGGGACCAATGAGCTTGTGTGGGCTGTGATTGCAGCCTTTAGTAAGTGATTGTTGTAGCCTTACATCTATATATGTCACACATAGTGGGATCACTGTTGTTTTCTTGAGTTTGAAGAATGGAAATATCATGGGTGATAGTCTGAGGCACAAAATAATTTCAACAGTACGTTTACTTTTATCATAAAACCAGATGACTGGTAATGTGTATGAAGCATGCTGTGATTATTCATTGTGTTAGTTCAGTTAAACTACATTCTTCCCACCCAGGAAATTTATTGTTAAAAAGCGGGCGTATACAGTTTAAAGAACAGTAATCTGCAATTGTAACACAAAATAAAACGAATCTTAGTCATGGGAACAGTCATTTGTTTGTGAAAGAATTCAAACCTATGCTGAAAATATGATTTCATGAAATGGTCCAAGTCTGTTAAAAATTAATTGTAATCAATGGGAAGGGAGGCAACTTGTTACAGTGTAGGTATGTTGCAGATCCTATCAACATTTTCAAATGGATTGCTGTACTTAATATGTAGTTAATGTCTATCACCCATATTTTGTGTGATGATGATCTCTCCCTGGCAAGTTGTATATCTTACTGGTTGAAATGTACATTTCTGAAATCTTATCAGGATCTGATTGGCTGCCAACAGGTTCAATCTGAATAGCTTTCAAAATGTTCTGTCTGATTGGGGGTCAGAGGCTTTATGAGTCCTTATGTCGTCATCTAAATCATTCATTAGTATGTAGTACAAGGTAACAGGTATACTATATCAGCTTAACTTTTTGTCAGGTCATTTCATCAAAAGGTCAAGGTTATTCATTTGCAGGAAATTAAAGGTGATGATTTACCTAGAACTACAAATCTGGTATTGGATATGTATACATACAGTTACATATCTGGTATTGGATATGTATACATACAGCTACAAATCTGGTATTGGATATGTATACATACAGCTACAAATATGGTGTTTTCTCCTGTAGTGTGATATCTCTTGTAGTGTGTTTTCTGCTGTTATGTGTTTTCTCCTGTTGTGTGTTTTCTCCTGTAATGTGTTTTTCTCCTATTATGTGGCTCCTCCTGTAATGTGGCTCCTACTGTAGTGTGTTTTCTCCTATTATGTGTTTTCTCCTGTAATGTGGCTCCTTCTGTTATGTGTTTTCTCCTGTTGTGTGTTTTCTCCTGTAATGTGGCTCCTACTGTTGTGGGTTTTCTCCTGTAATGTGTTTTTCTCCTATTATGTGGCTCCTCCTGTAATGTGGCTCCTACTGTAGTGTTTTTTCTCCTATTATGTGTTTTCTCCTGTAATGTGTTTTTCTCCTATTATGTGGCTCCTCCTGTAATGTGGCTCCTACTGTAGTGTGTTTTCTCCTGTTATGTGTTTTCTCCTGTAATGTGGCTCCTCCTGTAGTGTGTTTTCTCCTGTTATGTGTTTTCTCCAGTTCTGTGATTTCTCCTGTAATGTAGTGTGTTTTCTCCTGTAGTGTAGTGTGTTTTCGTGTTATTTCCTGTAATGTAGTGTGTTTTCTCCTGTAGTGTGTTTTCACCTGTTATGTGATGCATGTGTTACATTTGTTGGTCTTGTTTTTGGGTTTTTTGCAAGAAGTTAACAAAGAAGTTGACTGTTTTGTATATTTTGTGATGTAGTTATACTATTGTATATAGTGAACATTCCTTCAAGTAAGATGGCTGTCAGATAGATGTAATAGCAACATATATTATACAGCACGATAATGATTTTCACAAAATTAATTATAAAGAATTTTTAGTATAGCCTGCAGCAGATAATCTGAGACTAGTGAAGTCTCCAGTTGGTCTGGTACATATATTAGTGGTCCTGAAAAAAAAACGATAGCCCGATACCATAGCACATAGAATAACCAATATTCATAGGGTGTTGATATTAAGCCAGTAGCATGTTCATGTGAATTACAATGAACCAATTTCATGGTCACATATTGTCAAATGTGCATAAACCTTTAATATCTCGACAAACAAAAATATCTAGGGTGATAGTTTCATGACCTTGTTTGACTTTTACGGCCATTGGAGTCAAATGCAATTAGATATTAGATATTAGATACTCATATTTTGCCTTTAGCTTTATTTCATGGCTACAATTGTGAGATTTGAACCAGGTGAGCTATGCTACTTCTTCTACTTCCTCTTCCAATAATCTGCATACCACCTCTGGTGTATTGTCGCAGATATGGCACATACCCAGGGGAAACATGCCTCAGTTAAAACCATTAAACCTCATAAGAAATACAGTTAAAACTGGGGTTTTCACAATGTCACAGTGTGCTGCAGTCTCTCCTTAAACACATCTAGAGCGTCCGCTGAGATGACCCGGATTGGTAAGCCATTCCACAGGCAAATGGCAGAGGGGAAGAAGTACTGCTGGTGGCTTTGCAACCTGGTGAATAGTAGGTGGAAGAGAAGGCTATGTCCTATTGTTGTAATGGTTGACCCTCTTGAAATGAGATGTGGTTGTGATGGTATTGCCACTAACTCATTTATGATGCAGTAGAGCATGATCACCTTTGCTAGCTTTCTCCATTTTGCTAGGGTGGTCCATTGGAGTTTTCTCAGCATTGATGTTGCATTGCTAGTTGTTCTGTAGTCTCAAATGACGAAGTGTGCAGCCCTTCTCTGCACCATCTTAATATCTCTGATGTCCTTTTATAAATTTAGATCCCATACAATGCCTGCATAATTGATGATAGGCCTGATGACCAGCGTTCTTTAGCACTGCTCCTTGATCTTAGGTGGACAGGTGCTGATGTTGAAAGTGTTTCAATGTGAATGGACCAGGTAAGATTGTCATTGATGTTAACTCCCAGGTACTTAAACGTCTAAACTGTGGCAAGTGGGGTCCCATTGATGCTGTAGGTGGTAACTAGTGGCTGCCTTCTGTTGGTGACTCGTAGTACCTCACATTTATCAGGATTGAATTGCATCAGCCATTTGTTTTCCCACTGCTGCAGGTTGGCAAGGTCATTATGAAGGATCCTAGAGTCCTCATGTGTACGTACCTTCCTGTAGAGGAGACAATCATCTGCAAACAGTTTGATGTTACACACTTAGACAGGTCATTGATGTAGATGAGAAAGAGCAGACATCCTATGGTTGTTCCCTAGGGGCTTCAGATGTTACGTCAGCAGACAGGTCATTGATGTAGATGAGAAAGAGCAGACGTCCTATGGTTGTTCCCTAGGGGCTCCAGATCTAGATGTTACGTCAATCCTGTCTGATCTTTTCCCATTCTCCTCCACTTCTTGTTTCGGTGTAGCAGGGAGCTGGCAATCCATTGGGAGTGAGTAACCTGTTATCCCGAGGTAGCCAATTAGGCCTCTTGTTTGTGTCAAAGTGCTTCTAATACGCCCTTCATCCGATAGGCCGTATAATAGTATGGGCTGCGTTGACTGACTGATGTCAAACTGTCCGTCCATTTGTCCGTCCGTTAACTTTTCCTTGTCATCGCTCTCCAGCCTTCATTCATGAACATATCTTGATGAAACTTGGTACACATGCCAATATAACTGGAACGAGTTCGCATTTCAGAAGTTAACATGCATTTTTGGTGGAGTTATGACCCTTTTATTGCCAAATAAGGGCATTGTGTAGTAAATGCAAGAACTTTTTTATTTTTGAATCAATTCCTTTCAAATTTTGTACGGTAATGCTAGAAGCAATAATGTTCGACATTTATAACAGATATTTCTGTTGAGTTTCATCTTTCCACGTTTTGGCATATCACACTTGACATAGCAATGCCGTTCATCGTTTTTGTCGTTAAAGGGGCTGTTGAGTCAAATTAACGACAACCAGAAAATAGCATCGATATTGAAAATATATATCTCCTAACGAAAGTCTACGTAGTTGATAATGACATGACCTGGATGAAACATCCAGTGTGGTCAGTTTCATTTTTTCGCAAAGCTGTGATAAAAGTAGCTACGCCCAAAATAGCCCAATATCCAGGCCTTTCATTCAGTGAAAAGTAAACATGTAAAGCACTACGCTGTTGACCGACAACAGTGTCAGTTTTGAGTCCGAGTTCACACAAAACATTCTTGAATTTACACAGTACTAGTATATCGCAAGTAAGAATTATAAGTATAGTATCTCTACCTCTAATCAGATATTTCTGTTCACATTTGGAACAGGTTAATTAGAGCATGTATGCACTGACAGAGTGATGCAGGTATATTACAAACCGCAGAAAGAACGAAAGAACAATAGGTTTAAAAGTAAAATAGATCACTCATTTATAACGATATCTGAGATGCTGTTAAAAGATTATTTTAATTCAGAATAAATGCATGTTCTTGTATTCGAGCGCGGCTAAGTAAATAAAACTAGGAGCTATCGGCTCTCCTCGCCTGGAAAGACATTTTTAGCTCACCTGGCCCGAAGGCATGGTGTGGCGGCTGTCCGGCGTCAACTTTTTGTGTCGCCTGCAAAAAGCTGGTGACACAGGTATTGCTGCGGCGGCGTCCGCACAGAGGTTTTCGTGCGATATCTTCAGTTTCCTTGGGCCAATCAAAGTTAAACTTCATGCAGTGCTAAGCATACTCGCATTTTCAAGAATTTTTTATGGATACCAATGAGGCGATGCTGGTCTTGCTTGTGGACACCATATTGGAGTGGAATTGAGACAATGAGTATCCATAGCAAGTTCCTTAAAACTCAAGAGTATTCCTCCCAGAATAATCGATTATGTAACAAAATGATGCCATCCAAAAACATAATCTATGATTATTGCTTACTTTTAACATTATTTCTTGAAATGAAAAGTGTATCTATTTCTTCATAATCTCCAAGCTTCCTGTGCAGGCGACACATCCACTATTTGGAATTCTTGTTTCTTTAAACAACTTCTTCTCAATAACCAAGAGGCTCAGGCTGATGATATTTGGCCAGTAGCATGCTGGGATGAAGGGCTACCAAGTTTGTTCAAATGAATTACCTTGACCCACTTTCAAGGTCACAGTGGTCAAATGTCTTAAAAACGACTTCTTCTGAATAACCAAAAGGCCCAGGGTACTGATATTGGGCCTGTATCATGCTGGGATGAAGGGCTACCAAGTTTGTTCAAATGAATGACCTTGACCCACTTTCAACCTAATGTCCTTGTTCGACATTCAAGGTCACAGGCATCATATATATATGTTTAAATCTTTTAATAGGTTTCTTATGAATCAATTGCTGATATTCAGTCTAGCTGTATTTTAGTCCACTTTTAAGATTACAAGTGTGAGATTAATACCAGGTGAGCGATGCAGGCAAATTGGGCCTCTTGTTATTTAACTACTTGGTTGTTTCATTACCTGAATGCTTTAAATGAGTTCTTAAATGATTGACATTTAAATGCTATTTGGCAGAGTCACACCCTTTTTTCATTGCCAAATAAGGGCATTCTGTCGTGTTGCTTAATTTTGATGACATAATGAAGACAAGTATGTTGTGGTTTATAGGTATAAGACCTGTATTCCTGTATGTGAAAGGTTAATTTCATCGTAAGGGTCATGTATCTTGGCAACACCTCAGGGTATTACTCCTATATATGACTCCTTGGGTGGAATTTTACCACATACAATTATTAAAGTGTCTTATTGTTCACAATTCCAGGAGGGAGAAGATGACAGTTAGTTCCTATATATTTTGCATTTATTTTAATCATCGTTCATCACACAAAACAACTCAAGTGAAATCCACATCAGTTATTGTTATGTTGACATCTTCTTGAAGTATTATTATATTGTTTTTGTTATGTACTCCCGTAACGACAACTCCAAAACTCCATGGCCAATTTCAACAAAAGTTTTGAGATATGATAACTACCCCCTGATATTGTGCATCCAGGTATTATTTGATAATTCTGACTATCTTTTACAGAGTTATGACCGTTTGTTGAAAAATCCTTGTCCAGACAACTCCTATAAAACTATTTCAATTAAACTAATTTTCTAATTTTTAGCTCACCTGGTCGAGCTTATGCCATACCACAGCGTCCGTCGTACTTCAACTTTACACTACTAGTCATGAACCACTGAGTGGATTTTAACAAAATTTGGTATGAGGTATTTTTAAGTGAAGAAGAACCAATTTTGTATAAATGGTGGGTCTGAGGGGTGGGGCCCAATAGGGAAACATAGCAAATTATTCTTTAAAATCCTTCTTCTTCTGTAGGAATAAAACGATTTGGTCCATATTTGGTGTGGAGCATCCTTGGGTAAAGAGGAACCAATTTTGTATAAACGATGGGTCTAGTCCCCCTTGGGACTGAGGGGAGGGGCCCAATAGGGGAAATATAGCAAATTCTTTAAAATCCTTCTTCTTCTTTAGGAATAAAAGGATTTGTTCCATATTTGGTCTGAAGCATCCTTGGGTGAAGGGGATCCAATTTTGTATAAACCGTGGCTCTGGTCCCCCAGGGGCCTGAGGGGTGGGGCCCAATAGGGGAAACAGCAAATTATTCTTTAAAATCCTTCTTCTGTATCCGTAGGAATGAAAGGATTTTGTCCATATTTATTAAGAACATCATTGGGTAAAGGGGAACCAATTTTGTTTTATACAAAATTGGTTCCCCTTTACCCAAGGGTGTGGCCTCCCTGGGACCTGAGGGGTGGGGCCCAATAGGGGAAATAGAGGTAAAACCTTTAACATCCTTCTTCTACCATAGGGATTAAGGGATTTTATCCTAATTTGGCCTTGAGCATCCTTGGGCCAAGGGGACTCAGTCTTGTATAAGCAGTGGGTGTGGTCTCCCAGGGGGCAGAAGGGAGGGGCCCAATAGAAATAGAGGTAAAACTTTTAAAATCCTTCTTCGACCATTGGGATTAAGGGATTTTATCCTTATTTACATGTAGTCCAGAGCATCCTTGGGTCATGGCCAAGGGGACTCAATTTTGTATAAATGGTGGGTGTGGCCTCCCTGGGACCTGAGGGGTGGGGCCCAATAGGGGAAATAGAGGTAAAACCTTTAACATCCTTCTTCTACCATAGGGATTAAGGGATTTTATCCTAATTTAGCCTTGAGCATCCTTGGGCCAAGGGGACTCAGTTTTGTATAAGCAGTGGATGTGGTCTCCCAGGGGGCAGAAGGGAGGGGCCCAATAGAAATAGAGGTAAAACTTTTAAAATCCTTCTTCGACCATTTTAGGGATTTTATCCTTATTTACATGTAGTCCAGAGCATCCTTGGGTCATGGCCAAGGGGACTCAATTTTGTATAATTGGTGGGTATGACCTCCCTATGAGCATAGGGGTTGGGCTCTGTTTGAAGTTTGTTCTCGCTATATCTCAAGTACTGTATGTATCTTTCTGAAATTTCATATGTACTTACAGCACCTACAATGGAGTGCTATATCTTTACTTCATACCAATTATTTTAAACATATTCAGGTGAGCAATACAGGCCCTCTGGGCTTAGTTACTTGTTACTTAGTTATTGCCCTTTGTTGAAGATCAATGTCTGAACAATTCTTCCTTAACTACAAGGCTAATTTCAGAAAAACTTAACATAGATAATTTAGCTACACCTTGTCATCATAAAGTTGTGCTATTTATTATTTCTTTTGCTTCGTCACCATTTAGGAACATTTGAGGGGTTGGGGATTATACCCTTTTGGCTCACCTGGCCAAAAGGGCCAAGTGAGCTTATGCCATGGCATGAAGTCCGATCGGTGTCAAGATTTTACTTTAAATGACTTTCTAAATAACCAAAAAGACCAGGGTGATGATATTTGGCCAGAAGCAAACTTGGATGCAGTGCTACCAAGTTTGTTCAAATGAGTGACCTTCATCCATATTCAAGGTCACGGGTCAAATATGTGATAAACTTAAAACGACTTCTCCTTTATAAAAAATGGCTAGGATGATGATATTTGGCCAGTATTATGCTGGGATGAAAGGTTTGAAAAGTTATATCAAGAATGACCTTGAATAAGAGTTAAAACTTAACTTAATTTAATTCAAGAGTTAAGACTTCTTCTGAATAACCAAAATGCAAAGGATGGTGAAATGTGACCACTAGCATGCTCCAATGAAGAGCTATCTAGTTAATTGTGCATCTGTTGTTCTGTTAACTATTTATCAGGTGTTTCAGCTCTGTGTGGTTATTAATATCGGGTTGACCAGCCTTTATTATTTAATTCTGTGTATTGTTAGTTTCCTGCAAATTTTGCATGGAAGATGAATGATACTGGCTTACAATTCCTGTCCTACAGCTTACAGAATATACTTGGTAGATGGAAAAACACCAATTACTTTCCTTTGTCTACTCACAAGGGGCACTTGATAAATAAATGCAATTCTTTACTCAGAAATGTTGTGGTCATATTGTCAGACAAAGGTAACTGAAAATGAAAAGTCAGAATATCTTTTTAAAACGTTGCTAAAAAAGGAGATTAACACCGTACGAATACACAATATAATAGTGTGTATTCTTGTCTCAATGTGCTGGTACCTGGCTACAGTTGTTGTACCCTTGTGTCAATGTGTTGATCCATGGCTACAGTTGTTGTACCCTTGCCAATGTGTTGATCCCTGGCTACAGTTGTTGTACCCTTATGTCAATGTGTTGATCCCTGGCTAGAGTTGTTGTACCCGTATGTCAATGTGTTGATCCCTGGCTACAGTTGTATCATTTTGTCAATGTACTGCTCCCTGGCTACAGTTGTTGTACCCTTGTGTCAATGTGTTGATCCCTGGCTATAGTTGCTGTACCCTTGTGTTGTTGTGTTGAACTCTGGCTACAGTTGTTGTACCCATGTGTCAATGTGTTGATCCCTGGCTCTAGTAGTTGTACCCTTGTGTCAATGTGTTGATCCCTGGCTACAGTTGTTGTACCCTTGTGTCAATGTGTTGATCACTGGCTACAGTTATTGTACCCTTGTGTCAATGTGTTGAATCCTTGCTACAGTTGTTTTTATGTGTGTCAATGTGTTTATCACTGGCTACAGTTGTTGTACCCTTGTGTCAATGTGTTGATCCATGGGAACAGTTGTTGTACCCTTGTGTCAATGTGTTGATCACTGGCTACAGTTGTTGTACCCTTGTGTCAATGTGTTGATCCATGGGTACAGTTGTTGTACCCTTGTGTCAATGTGTTGATTCCTGGTTACAATTGTTGTACCCTTGTGTTGATGTGTTGAACCCTGGCTACAATTGTTGTACCCTTGTGTTGATGTGTTGATCCCTGGCTACAGTTGTTGTACCCATGTGTCAATGTGTTAACCCCCGACTACAATTGTTGTACCCTTGTGTCAATGTGTTGAACCCTTGCTACAGTTGTTTTTATGTGTGTCAATGGGTTGATCACTGGCAACAGTTGTTGTACCCTTGTGTTGATGTGTTGATCCCTGGCTACAGTTGTTGTAATGTGTGTCAATATGTTGATCACTGGCTACAGTTGTTGTACCCTTGTGTCAATGTGTTGAACCCTTGCTACAGTTGTTTTTATGTGTGTCAATGTGTTGATCACTGGCTACAGTTGTTGTACCCTTGTGTCAGCTTTGTGTTGATCCCTGACTACAGTTGTTGTACCTTTGTGTCAATGTGTTAATCCCTGGCTTCAGTTGTTGTACCCTTGTGTCAGCTTTGTGTTGATCCCTGACTACAGTTGTTGTACCCTTGTGTTGGTGTGTGTTGGTCCCCTTGCTATATTTTGTGCCCTTGTGTCAGTTCTACCATTTTGTTGTCTGTATTTCAAGTTTAAGTTTATTATGATGTTAACAGTCATAGAAGGGATATTTATCCTGCATACTTTCATTCATCATGAAAACATATTAGTTCATAAAAGATTGCAAGTGCTATACACAGAGAGAGAAAAAATCTTTTACAGCAATATAATTATGTTATATGTTGCTGTGTGATATGTCATGTACATGGTTGTTGGTTGTTATTTTTGTTAAGATGAGAGGCTTGCAATTGGACCTTGGTTAAGGTTTTTGACAGCATGGTGTGCCTTGTTTGATGAAAAATGTTTCTGCCCTAGTATAGATTAATTGTTCCTGTTAATCAACTGCCAGACCACCCCTGAAATGGCAGTTGTTTTGTTAAAAAAAGCAATAATCAACCGATTTTGTTTCAACTGAACTAAACAACAAAGAGGTTTGAAGATTGGCACCCTTTGCATTGTCATTAAGAACATTAATAACAAATATTTAATTTCACTAGAAGCTAACTTTTATAACACACAGAATTAATTTGCAATAGATCAATATCAAAATATTTGAGGTATAAAATCAAATAGGGGACTAAAGCTGTAAACCTAGCTGTAGGTTTTACTTATTTAGTTAGCAAACTTTCACTGGACAAAAAAATACTGCACTGCAACACGTCAAAGATATCACTCGATAGACAACAAAATTGCGGTAGAAAGAATTTCTGCAGCTCAAAAATAGTTTTTTTCATGTGTATCAAAATCTCATTAATTCATTATCAGGGCACTGAAACAGTTCTTTTGGTATAGTTCTCTCTTTTTTTGCAACATTTTGAGAAAATGTTAAAATCAGGTGGTGTGATAGTTTGTACAAAATGAAAATTTCTTTTATTTATTTGTTATAAATGTGTTTCACTATGTATAGCTCAGATATCCATTCATGAGTGCCATTTATTGTATTTAGTTTGTATGTCCAATGCTATGAGTTTATTTTCAAGTATTATCATAGAACATCAGCTGCATGGAGATCATTTTTTATGGTGATATTTCGCATTGTGACAGAAAGATAACAAACATTAACAAAAATTGGACATAGAATGGATGAAGCATATGTACCACACAAATGAAACTGAACATTTGGTGAAAACAGTATAAAAAAACAAGGTTTTTTTAACTGAATTCAAAAAAGTGTGTATTATTAAAAAAGAATATGCCTATCACTTGAAGCCCCATCCTTGGTTCTAAAGTAGATGTTGCTAACTGTAAGTACATGTGTACCAAGTGTCTACTTAGTGCCTCTTTACCAAGTGTTTACTTAGTACATGTGTACCTGGTGTGTTTATTTAGTACATGTGTACCTAGTGTTAATTTAGTAAATGTGTACTTGTAGTTCATGTTCACCTATTATATCCAGATATCCTTATACATTTTGTATTACATGTACTTTAATTTTTAACTCTGAAAAATAAACAAAACTTGCTATGAAGGAATTATAATTCTTAACAATCAAATGTGAGTTCAGGTGCATGGTAAGGATTCTAGGCACTTCTATAATAAAGTTGTGCTTGTAGATTTATTACCATTGTATCATACTGCTTTGGAAACTACTTGTTGAAAATGTTTTTAAGAAAGGCAACAATAGTGGGGTTTTTTTTATTAAAAATAGTGTTTAACATGCAAAATGAGTGCTGCTTTACAAACACTCATCAAAGCATTTCTGATCCAACCTTTTTAAACACCCAAATCATAAGAGCTGTTATTTGAGACAATTGAATGTCAATGATATTTTGATGGTTAGCTGAACATAACAAGTTCTGGCTGTTTATTTCCTGGTTATCAAACATTACTAGGAATAAACACATTTGATGCACTTGTTTACCATTTTTGCAAATATGACCATCTAGAGTAAAGCAATGGGGAGAAATATTTACCCAAGGAGATAGCTAAATGATCCTTTATAACATTTTTTCAATTGCGATTTGCATCAAAAAATACTAGGACATTAAATCAATGATAGAAAAATAACATATCTTATGATTGAATTGGCATATGTGAAATGATTAAATTTGCGGTTGACTCGCTCCTTTAAATTTGCAAGAAATAATTTTCACAAACTATAAGTATAGACTATAAGGCATTTATGAATATTGTGTATATTTCTGATCCTTACTTCAAAATTACTTGCAATTAGAACAAAATAAAAATAAAAATGTTGACATGCTTGGGTTATGACAGAACTGGATTTTGACCTTATGGTACCATTAATTTTTCATGTTTAGAGAGAGAAGTAATTATATATAATTTGTTTTTCATTATTATTATTGAATTAATACATTTTTATTTGAGGGTTTTAACAAAAAGGTGTACATACTATTGCTCTAATGTACAGATGTTTTGGTAAGGTACAACTGTAGTACAGGTTGGTGATTTGTAACCTTACAGAGATAATCATGTGCATATTGAAGCTGGAATAAATCACATTCATGATTATAACTTCTTCATGTTTTGTTTCTGTCAATGTGTTATAGTAAAACTGAAAATCAATAGTCTGACCTAGGGAATTTAGAAATGTAAGCCTCTGGCTAACCAACCACCCTATGGTAAACTATGTTAACCCATGTGACCTCAAAAGTGGATTACGATAATCAATTTGAAGAACTTATTAATAGTATAGCCCTATTAACCGGCCTGTTACCAGCTAAGCTAGCCACAGTTTTCTTTAGTCCTGACACCTTATTTATGACATTTTGACACTATTTGTCAAAATGTCGTAAGTCTAGTGTCAGGGACAGAGGAAACCCCACACCAGACATCTATCTGTCAACATGCCGTAAGTCTGGTGTCAGGGCCAGAGGAAACTCGTGCTAGAAACCAGCAAACTATCATTGCAGTACGCCAGCTGTTGGTCATTGAGAATTAAGTAGAATTAAATGAATGAGAAAAAAAAGACACCAAACAAGACAGAAACTGCCTCAAAATGTGAGGTAAAATTTCTAACATGGTCTTAAGAACAAGAGGTCCCATGAGCCTGCATCGCTCACCTGGTATAGATCTCTCAACTATTGCCTTATAAGTGGACTGAAATAAAGTTACAGGCAAAATATCAGTATCTTGAGTCAAATTGAGGTGGTCATTCAAAAGAACCTGTTGAAAGATTTAAACACCTATGACCTTGAAAGTTAAACAAGGACATACAGTTGAACAAATTATAGCACTTCATCCCAGAATGCAACTTGCCAAATATCGCCACCCTATACCTTTTGGTAATTGTGAAAATGAATAAAAGTTAAGGTCATTCATTTGAACAAACTTGGTAGCCCTAGCCTTCATCCCAGAATGTTACTGGCCAAAAATCATTTGATTTGTTGTGTATCCTTTTCTAGCCCACCTTCCACCCTATGAGACACTTTCTTATAAGGAAATTGTGGAAATTGAAAACCTTGCTGTAAACTCATTTGCATATTTGTTGCTTTGCATCAAATACAATTTTACCTCATGTTTCGGTTAGCTTGTAATAGTACTACTGAAAAGTATAACTCGAATCGCAATTGCAAGCAATAGCGGAAGTCACCCCTCCCCTGTAAAGTATGCAGCCATTCTGTTTTTAGCTCACCTGGCAAGTGCCAAGTGAGCTTATGCCGTGGTCCGGCTTCAATATTTTACTTTAAACAACTTCTTCTTAACAAGAGGCCCAATGGGCCTGCATCGCTCACCGGGTATTAATCTCACACTTTTAATCTTAAAAGTGGACTGAAATACAGCTACAGGCAGAATATCGGTGTTTGATTCATAAGAACATATAAAAAGATTTAAACATATGACGCCTGTGACCTTGAATGTCGAACAAGTACATTAGGTTGAAAGTGGGTCAAGGTCATTCATTTGAACAAACTTGGTAGTCCTTCATCGCAGCATGCTACGTAGGCCCGATTTCAGTACCCTGGGCCTTTTGGTTATTGAGTAGAAGTGGTTTGAAGATTTTACGACATTTGACCCTGTGACCTTAAAAGAACGTCAAGGTCATTTTCATTCTCAAACTTTGTTGGGCTCTATCTCATGAAGCCGACAGCCAAATATAATAGTTCTATACCTTTTCGTTCTTCAGAAGAAGTCGTTTAAAGTGTTTGACATAATTGACAGCTGTGACCTTGAAAGAAGGTCAAGGTCATTTTCATTCTCAAACTTTGTCAGGCTCCTACCAACGAAGCTATCACCAAAATACCATGACTCTAGGCCTGTCCATAGACAGACGACGACAGACGACGGGCGGACGACGGACACAGCGCCATGGCATAAGCTCACTAGCCCTTCGGGCAAGTGAGCTAATAACTAAAACCTCGTGATGCTGAGAATACAAGACTTCATTTGAAATAACTAAACCTTGTGATGCTGAGAATACCAGACTTCAATTGAAATAACTAAACCTTGTGATGCTGAGGATACCAGACTTTATTTGAAATAACTAAAATCTTGTGAAGCTGAGGATACCAGACTTTATTTGAAATAACTAAAACCTTGTCATGCTGACAATGCCAGACTTCATTTGAAATAACTAAATCTTGTGAAGCTGAGGATACCAGACTTCATTTGAAATAACTAAACCTTGTGAAGCTGAGGATACCAGACTTTATTTGAAATAACTAAAACCTTGTGA